GGTAACTTTGAACGTTTGGCCCTTAACCACTCGGTTTCCTCATCTGTAAAATCGGTGAAGTCACATACCTCACAGGAGGGTTCTGCTAGTTAAATGATTCGTGTCTGAAGTGCTTTGAGATCCTTGCATGAAAGGCACTGTGAAAGTGCCAACATTATTCATGACTGTTGCTTTCTTTTTAGCTGCTTTTCAGGGTCTCAGTAAAATGATGCCCTGAACCTCTTTTTGAAAAGCTGGCTTTCCTTTGCTTCCTTCCACCCAGCTAGATGGAGGTAGAGGAGACATCCAGGTACCAAACGCCCTCCCGGAAGCGGCACATGTTGGGCTTTTTTATTTGCCTTTAGATCCTTCCAGCCTTTCTCCTAGCTCCGAGAACCCTCTGTTTCCATTGTACCGTTCCTAACAGACATGCCGTGGCCACTCTCTTTCTGGCCGTCCAGTGCAGGAGGGCTGGACTCAGCCCTGTCTGGAGCCCACTGACTGTTACTTTTATTAGGGCCCAACTGAGATCAGGTTCTCACTGTGGAGACGCTGTACATAGCAAGACGCTCCTTGCCCCCAAAGAACTAACGGTCTCAATTGATGAGACAGATAAAAGGTGGGAGAGGTGAAGTGACTTGCCAGTGGCAGTGCTGCGAATAGAATCCAGGTCTCCTGACTCCTGGTCCAGGGCTCTAGCCACTAGATCACACTGCCTTTAACTGTTCCTAACTCAGGAGAGGTGGAATAATGTATGGATCCATCTCTTCCAAGGGCCAAGCACACAGCTTCTATGACCCTCCTTGCCCTTGGTGGCGTGGCATCACGCTGTCCTAGCTTCAGACGTTCACCGTCCGCCCATTCAAATGATCCAATTTCCTGGTTTCGATCCTGTCTGTTGAAACAGGTGTTCATTTAAATACATTCCTTGGTCTTTGGGTTTTGTTTGCTTCTGCAATAATGACGTTGGCTGGAGATAGAGTTGTGGCCAGTGTGCACTTGCTCTGTGTGAACTATGCAGTCTGTGCCGTGAGAATGCCACTCCCTAACCACAAACATTGCATACACAGCCAGCGAGAGGAAGTGATACTTAGTGGGATCCCAGGGCTCCGTTTGCTCTTGATTCTTTGTCAGGCACTGAGCACATTCGGACAAGAATTGTGCAGAACTTGCCATGCTCAGTTTGTGGAGCTGTCACAAACTGGTTTCCTCTTTCCCTTCATGTAAGCTCCCATCCTTGGCATTCCAGTTGAGTTTGAGTAGAGATACCTGGACCTAAATCACAAAAGATGGGTTCAGAGCTGGGTGCAAACTCTCCAAGGGCGAGGAAGTGTTCAGATCCAGGCCTTTAGTTCAGCCCGTCACAGAGGCTGTACGTACAAAATGTGGCTCTGGTTTCAGGTCTGGATTCTGAACCCCGTCAGTGCTGGCGAGTGTTCCTGTAGATAAACCCGAACCGGGAACTGGGGACACTCTGTCCTTTGTTTCCCCATTGTTTCCACGAAAAGACGGCAAGAAAACTGTTAGGTACAGAGCGCTAGGGGGAGATTCTCTACTGAACGTCCGGAGAGATGCAGCGCAGAAGACGCCATCTGGGGGAAAGAGATGGGGGCAAAAGTGGCTTTAAACCACCTTTGTGGATTCTGGGCTGCTGTAGGGGCTGAAACAGCACAACCCCAGAGGGGCTCCCCAGCCCTGCCCCGCCGACCAAATGTGGAGGTGGGATTTAAATTGGCCATAAGCTGCTCCTGCACTATGGGAATACCTCCCTGCCCTCTTGCTTCCCCTGTATGGCTCCTGTATGTATGACCCACTCAGTATGGTCCTCTGTCCCTCTCCAGTGGTGTCTGGACTACAGAGAACAGTTGGGGAGCTACCCTGAGGCTTGGCCAACGTAGGAAGACTTTTTCACTGTCAGTAGAAAATCATGCTTTAAGATCCGGGGGTTCCAGGCCAAGTCCTGCTGCTGGCTGCCCTCCCCAGGGCATGGCATAACATGTGCTGCTGCACACCAGTCCCGTCGTTTTTTTAATAAAAATATCCAGAACAGGAAGCAGATACTTAAACATTTGTAAAGCTGCACTGCTTTGTTCAACTGCTTTTGTCCCCGGTTCAGTTTCTGAATCACAAGGCAAGGTCCCTGGGGCTTGTTGGCTCTCTTTTCTGGGGTTCACCTCGGGAACTAACCAGCAAAGGTGTTTACTCGGGAACATTTTTAATCTAAAACACAATAGCGGCAATTTATCTCCTGCTTGTGGAGAATGCTCAGTACTTGTGAAATAGAGCAGTGAATTGAGCGGTGTCCCATTTCCCAGCAGGTGCAAGTATTTCCCTTTAGAATAAGTGGCCAAAGCCTTTCTTGGCTTAAAAAAAGAAGATTGTGTTGTCGTTCTAGCAGGACGGTGTGTGTCTGTGTTAGGCAGAGGTGGAAAGGATGGCTGAGAGCCTGTAGGATTAGGAGACGTTCATCAGAGGTTCTGCTGAAAGCCTTGTGATGCAGAGTGGCTTCAAGAGGCCCTGCTTAGCATCATTTCCAGGAGAGATCCCCAAGGCTTGAAGGTCGGGTTTTCCTGATGAGAGGAATTGACTTGACAGTGCTGGGAACTGGGCACACGGCACAACTATGCAGGTGGCATCTCTGTAGTGGTTTGACACTTCCTTTGCATTGGTGTGATCCCCGGTGCAACAAAGTATTTAAGCACTTAATGAATTGGCTTAACTGTAAAAACAGGCTCCACCCCCTTTTGTGAAATTAGAAGCCGATTCTGTTTTATGAAAACGATAGCACCTGTGGTCTTGCGTAGCCCCTGCCAACGGAGACAAGTTGGAACAATCCTGCATTTTGATTTTATGATTCAGGCATTAATTTATTTTGCCAGCAAGGTCTAGCATTTCTAAATCCTCCTGGGAATTGTGATACACGCCTGGATCCCTTATATAAATTCTCATTCCTGTGGCTTTGTTGTGTTCTCAGGGGAAAAACGTCCCCTCGTCCCCCAATTCAGCAACAACTTCCTAGAAGGCTTAAGTCTGCAATGACACTTAGGCTACATCTTCACTACCCGCCTGGATCGGCGGGTAGAAATCGATCTCTCGGGGATCGAATTATCGCGTCTCGTCGGGACGCGATAATCGATCCCCGAATCGACGCTTGTACTCCACCAGCGCAGGTAGGAGTAAGCACCGTCGACGGGGGAGCCGCGGCGGTCGATTTGCCGCCGTCCTCACAGCGGGGTAAGTCGGCTCGGATACGTCGAATTCAGCTACGCTATTCGTGTAGCTGAATTTGCGTATCTTAAATCGATCCCCCCCCCAGTGAAGACGTAGCCTCAGGTACCTGGCAAGGGTATTCAGAGAGTCGAGTAGTTAATGTTTGGAGGAGGCTTTGAAGATGTGATGTTCTATATGATGTTTGTACTAAATCCTGTTCTTCTCATCCGAAGAACAGGCCATTACTTCCTACAAGAAACTGTTGTTCACACTGAAACACCTGAGACACTGAAACTAATCTATAGAGCAAGAAAGCTGGGTAACGTGCCGGAATGTGCATTATGGCTCAGTTACTCTTCGCCTGGCGTGACAACTTCCTGAAGTATCTATCATTTCACTTATAAGAAAATCACTCAGACCTAAGCATCAGCCGTTCTCCACGGACATCCTGCTGGACTACAGCAGACCGGATCAGAGGCTTGTGTGAGTTCTGAGAACACGAATCTGCAAAGAGGAGTTTAGTTACCATTTTTAGTTGAATATGGCGCTGAGGAACTTGAAGGCCTTGCTAGAGCCAGGGAGCATGCCTCCTGTCATGCCACATCGCTGGACTTCAGTCCTGATCTGCAACACCCTTGCTGTCCCAGATCTGAGCTTCTCTTGAGCATGGCCCACCAAGTGTTTTGTATTATAGCAGATTTTCAGTGGTGGTTTTGTGGCATGATTGACTTTGAGTCTCCAGAAGTGAAAGCTTAGTGCCTTAACCACTAGCTTCACCCCAGTGCCCAGGATTCATACTTTAGGCGGATGCGTAAGGAGACAGCCCTTCTCTGTGGAGAGAGCACAAGACTGGGAGTCAGGAGACCCAGGACCTGATTCTCCCCTCCCCTCCCCTGCATCTTGTGCAGTCATTTGCACCTGTGCAATGTGTAAGTGAGAATGCAGCTGACTCTGCACAGGGATAAATGACTGCACAAGGTGTAGAGCAGGGACGAACCAAGCCCCTGGGTTTTATTTCCAGCTCTGCCACTGACAGACAGCAGAGTCTTGGGCCAGTCGCTTAACCTTTCTGTGCAACTGTAAAATGCTACCTCCCTTTATAAAGTGCACTGAGATCCTCAGTTGAGAAGTACTACAGAAGTGCCCCCTGTTGTTATTAATTGTGTTAACTTAGATGCATCGGTTTTACAGCTTGCATGTTAGCAACTTGCTCTAGTCATTAGATTGGTTGATCAGCAAGAGCGCATAGGTGCTGGAACTAGGGATGCTGCTGTACCCCCTGGCTTGAAGTGGTTTCCATCATATACAAGGTTTACAGTTTGGTTCAATAGCTCTCAGCTCCCCCACTATACAAATTATTCCAGCACCTCTGCTAGAGAGAGATCTGAACTACAGGATCTGAACTTTTCATACTTTAGTGAAGCTTGGATCTGATCTGAGCTTTGCAGTTTGATCCAGAATTCATGGCTGAGGCTTATAAAACTGACCAGGAAATATTTAATGACCACTTCCTTACCCCTTACTGCTTCCAGATATCATAGGGAATTTCCAGCTTCATTGGAAAAGTCACCGAGGGCTGCATTCTTTGCAGATCTTGGTTGCATCCACATGAAGTGGAGAGAGAAGCAAGCAGAGAGTTCTGGGTGCTGGGAGGTGAAGGAGCTGCTTCTTGGTTCAGGAGCAGAGCCGTGGGCCTGTAAAACTAGTCCCGGATGAAGTGGCTCATTTTAGTGCCACAAAAGGCTGCCAAACCCTGCCTGGGAATCTGAGCCAATTTCTTCTCACTGCTTTTTCTCCTCTCTTCCATGCAGGTTGAAGAAGGGGGGAAAGCGGACTCCCTGACCTCCAAGCTGCAGGCTGGTGATGAGGTGGTGAACATCAATGAGGTGGAGCTGAGCAGTTCCAGGCGGGAGGCCCTCTCACTGGTGAAGGGGTCCTACAAGACACTGAAGCTGGTCATCCGCAGGTAGGCAAGCAGGGTGCTGTGCGTTATTGCTTCCGCCTCCTTCCTTCCCCTCCCTCCACAACACCGTCCTGTAAAGACTCTCAGCCACCATCTTCATCTCTCCCGCTGAGAGTCAGGGGCACCTGTGACTTGTCACCTGGGCCAGTTTGACGCACAATGTCCTACCATGTGTGAAAGAGCTATTTCGACTGCTCCCCATCAACACAGCAAGTCAGGGATGTTACTTAGTCACTTCAAAGCAGAGTCCTCCTGCCTATCTGGGGCTACCTAGGAGAAGATGCAACCATATGCTCGCTATCATTTCTGTGGTTTTTCTTTGTGGGTGGAGATTCAGGGCCTGATCCAAAGAAGAATCCAGCAAGAATCCCATTGATTTCAGTAGGCTTTGGATCAGACCTTTACTGTGCAATTCAGGGAAAGAATGGCTGTTTCAGTTTTAAATAGCATTGTGGATTATATAGTTAGGGTGTGATCTAGTGGATAGAGCAGTGACCCCTGAATCAAACCTCCTGGATTCTAGTCACAGATCTGGCATGAATTGCATGTTTTGGGACAAGTCACTTAACTCTGCCTCAGTTTCCCTGGGTGCTCAATGAGTTTATAATTATAATATTTACACACTGTACCTCCTGGGGTGTTTTGAGGTTATTTCATCTATGTAAATCACTGTGATCTCTGCAGATAAAATGCATTATGTAGATGGAAGTGTTTGTATTAGAATCAAGCCACAGACTTGGATTCCGATACAGATTTTGAATCTACCAGGGGCTGCGGGGGTTGGATCTGAGGTTTTGGTTCTATCGCATGGGAGAGGTAGAGGCCAGTGCCGACATTTGGTTTTCGATCTGGGTTTGCATCCTCAATCGCACCCCCACAACTGAGGGGAAGGGTTCAGCGTAAGATTCTGGTGCTGTTGCAGTTGGGGCCTTTCTAGTTTTGTTTATGTGCGGGAGCTGGCTCTTATCATACATGCCTATCGTCTGCTGTGGTGCAATTCCTCTACGCTTATTACTACTAGAGTCTGTTCTGCCTGTGTCTGTGTGTGTCTCTGATTATCCGTCTGTGCTGGGGGGCAGAGTGAGTGAGCTGTCTGACTCGCTGGACCACAACTCCCAGTGTGCTAGAGGCCTGTGTCCAAGCTGGGAATCTGTCCTTTTTCTTCCAGTGACAGCACAAATGAGCCTCTTTCTTGTTTTTCTGACTAGCTTTCCCATGCCATAGGAATCAGCCAAGGCAGAACAGCTTATCTCCCATTCCGTATGCCCAGCTCAACCGCCAGCATGGGGTTCTAATTAAAGTTGCTGAGTTATTGAAAGAGGACATGACCTAGCATCTGAAAAAATTAACAAATAGCCTACAGTGTCCCGCGTTCCACAAGTATACTTCTAAAATGGAACCATGTCGCATTTCTGCCGCCATTATTTTCCAGGACAGGGTCCCGTCTCTCTTTTTCTCCCCTCTTATACATGTCTACAACGGGGGAATCCCAAATACTCTTGTCCCTGCTTTACAGGGGTGATACTATGGGAGCTCTGCTTTGGTTTGGAGCGTTGCGGTGCTTCATGTCATTTCACCATGTGATGCGGTCCACTTGTAGTAGCGTTCTGGGTGCTAACTGGGTCGTGATTTCTGCTGTATTTTTTTCCGTAAAACATGCAGCTGTAAGATGGGATTTTCAGAAGTGCTTGGCGCTGGCCTAATTCTGCTCCCACTGAAATAGATCATCAAACTGAAGTCCAGTTTTTAAACGGCTTCTGATAAGGTGCAAGGGTACTTCCTGGTCCCCAGTGAACATGGGGTTAACATCAGCTCTGCTTCCCCCCTCCCTTCGTAAAGTATTCTGCTCTTCACCCCAGGCTCTCAGATGAAGGAGGGCTTTGCAGTCTTCCTTAGCTTGTCCCACATTCAAACTCTCTCCACTGAGAATACTTTCTCTGTCTTTTACGTTCTTCATCCTGCATTTTGTTAGCTCCGTTGCCCTAGAGAAGCATAACCGTCTAGACCGATGGAGAGGTGCTCACATGTGCAGCTGGGTCCTAAGCTATGGATGGCCTTGAAGATCAGGACCAAGGCCTTGAATTGTAACATTAGATGTCACAGTGATGGCAGCTTAAGATGATCGATGCCATATACCATTAGAGAAAAAGGAGATAGAGCATAATAATGTTAATAATAATTTTATTCATGCAATACCCCTGCCAAAGTTCTTCAAGCTCCACTAAACAGTTACATAAGAATGTAAGAATGGCCAGACTGGGTCAGACCAATGGTCCATCTAATCCAGTATCCAGTGTTCCAACAGTGGCCAATGCCAGGTGCTTCAGAGGAAATGAACAGAACAGGGAAATTATAGAGTGATCCATCCCCTATTTTCCAGTTCCAGCTTCTAGCAATTGGAGGTTTAGGGATCGCCAGAGCATGGGGTTGCATCCCTGACCATCTTGGCTAATAGCCATTGAAGGATCTATCTTCCATGAGCTCATCTCATTTTCTTTTGAACCCAATTCTTCTTTTGACCCTCACAACATCCCATGGCAACAAGGTCCACAGGTTGACTGTGTGAAGTTTGAAGTACTTCTTTGTATTTTAAACCTGCTGCCTATGACCCCTGGTTCTTGTGTTATCTGGAAGGGTAAATAACGCTTCCTTATTCACATTTTCCTCACCCTTCATGATTTTACAGACCTCTATTATAGTCCCCCTTAGTCGTCTCTTTTCTAAGCTGAACGGTCCCAGTCTGTTGAATGTCTCCTCATATGAAGCTTTTTATACCCCAATCAATGGAATATTACTGCATTTTATAAATATACAATTAACAAATAACTAACTATCAGGGCCAGATCCTCAGCTTGTCCTCCATTGACTTCACCAGCAGAGAATCTGGCCTTCGAATGTTGACATGGACGGATGGAGGCTAAAATCCTGAGAGAGGAGCAATGGCAAACAGAAATTGGAGATTGCAAGTAACTTCTGGGTTGTGGGTCAGAAGCTATATGAAATCTGCTGACCCATGAAAGAAGCAGGATTCAGCCCTCTGGCTGGGGAGGTGGCATGAGAGATTAGGCAAATGTGTCCATCTCCAACACAAAACAAGGAGTGGAGCGAAATGGTTAAGGATTCCAGAGAAAGGGGGAAAAGCAAAAAGAAAAACAAACACCCTCCATTAGATAAAAATGTAAAAGAAAGAAATGAGGAGTGAAATACAGCAAAGATACAAAAGAGACTAATTAAGGAAAGCCATTCTGTACACAAACATGGCCAGGGGCACAGATCCTTCATTGCCGGTAGGGGAATGTTGCTAAATCGGCATGTAGCTATGTGATGAAATGCAAACACTCAACGGTATGTGAGCGAGGTTCAGAGACAGATGGCAGAAAGGATCTTCTGACGCATGGATCATTTTTACCCCACTCCTAATGCACCTAAATAGTTCAGGCTAAAATAGTAATAAGCACTATAATATCATCCAGAGTTGTGAAAGCTCCTTATGGCCTGGGACAATGTGGGATGCAAGTTTAGGCATTGTACGGCTTATGTAAAGACGTTGCGGTTGCTTTCAGTCTGTGGAGCATGCTGGAAGAAAGTGTCCTGATCCAGGAGCAAATCCCGGGGCAGTCAGCAATAAATGTGTAAGGCCCCCAGACCTAAGGAATCCTTGGTTAGACACAATGGTATTAAATAGACTATTCTTTGTTGTTCTCCCTATGGCCCTGATACTGTAAATATTTATGCAAGTAGTGTCTAGTTGTGCAATGCCCACTGAGATCAGTAGCAGTACTGCCACTAACTTCAGCAGCCTTTCAGTTGGGCCCATGCTTAACTTTACTCATGTGGGTGAAATTCTGCATCCAAGGTTTATGTAGTGTAGGTTCAGATCTGGGGTATTGGTTCAGCCCATATAATGTTAGGCGCCAAAGCTATTAAATTCAGATCTGGAGCCAAATCCAACAGTTGGGGCTGTTCAGACCCCATCTTTTACTGGGTCAAGCTCATCTCTCCCTGAATGTAAAAATGCTGTTTTTCCAAGGGGTAGAAGTGCAAGCAGCTGATGTCTCGCAGCTCTCTGCCACCTGATGATAAAACGAATGAACAAGTTAATTTGATTCTTTTTGAAGGGAATTAACAAGCGACTTTCTCTGGAGTGCTTAGCAGATAGGCAATTTACAAAAAGAAGTCGATGATGCACTAGGATTGCTGGCTGAAGACACACACTTTCTGAAACACTCATTTGTTACCTGAGTTCTCAACACGTGATTGGCTAATGCTTTCAGTAGTTGCTGCAAGAGATTGTGCGCAGGGAGTGAGACAAACTCACACTGCCGTGAGCAACGCCGCTTTCCTCATTAAAAGTGACCTGCAAATAATGACGCAAACCTACCTTGTGTTTTGGTGTGCTGCTTGCTGACGTACACAGAAAGCCACCATTTTTAAAGGTATTTTCTTTGCTTGTTTTTCATATTAGAAAGTCCGGAACTCTACATGAGTGATTAAATAGTGCGCTTATGACATCAGAAGAGACAACTGAGCAATTCCGAGGAGATTTTTAATCAGCCTGTTTAAAGCAGGAGTGTTAAACATATGGTCCCTGGGCTGGATCTGGCCTGCATTGTTCTACAAGTGGAGGGACACCTAGTACAGTGGGGTGCTGGTCCATGATGAGTGCTCCTAGGTGGTACGGTAATACAGCCGGAAAATACTAATAATTTGTTTGTGGCCCCCAGGACTTACTCAGACGGTGCTCATGCTCACCTCTCATTTTTAAAACAAAAGTACATTTCTAGCTCTCATGTCTGCAGCGAGAACCTCCCAAATGTGAACTGAGTGTCCACGGATTTTGCAGTGTCTGCCTGTGCCTGCAGACAGCCTGAAACAATGACCAAGAGGGGTGAACTTCCCTATTGATCTCATTCAGTAGCTGTAAAAGCCCAAGGCAGATGCTTCAGTGTTCAAGTCGGCAATTAAATAGTTAATCATTTAGCAGATGGAACGGGAAAGGGGGT